AGACAAACGCCATCGCTCCGAACGTGCCCCCCTTCCTCCTTCTTCCCCCAGCTTTCTGTGCTGAGCATGACGTCATACGGTGTGGGATATCCCTTGGGTCAGTTGGGGTCAGCTGTCCCGGCCGTGTCCCCTCCCAGCTTCTCGTGCCCCCCCAGCCTGCTCGCTGGTGGGGTGGGGTGAGAGGCAGAAAAGGCCTTGACTGTGTGTCAGCACTGCTCAGCAACAACGGAAACATCCCTGGGTTATCAACACTGTTTCCAGCACAAATCCAAAACACAGCCCCATACCAGCTACTGTGAAGAAAATTAACTCTGTCCCAGCCAAAACCAGCACACTTTCTTTGTTTGTCTGATTGTTTAAAAAAAGGGCGTGAGGAGGAAGGATTGTTACAGGAAAATTGACTCTAGAGGGACTAACGAGGATACCAAACCACAGTGTAAAACATGAACATAAAGTTCAAATAAAAAAAATCCCCACAAAGTGCTGGCCAAACTGTTCAAGTTAAGGGAATTTTGAACTTACGGGTTAAATAATATCATTGCTGCTGATACACTGTACCACTAAACTGACTGCCTTGCCAAATTTTAATTAAACATGTGATAGAATAGTCAATGTCATAAATGATTGTTCAACTCTCTCTCTCTGCAGATCTGGGCTTAACCTGAGATCCTGTATGCAGAATCAAATGAAGACTGATACCCTGGACTACAAAAACTGCATAAAAAAGCCACCCCTCAAAATCAAATATTTGCTACACTACAAAAGAGTGACACTGAACCCACAGGTTAACACGACTAGGTAGAAAATGTAATCTGCTTGAACACATAGCAAACATCAACTTGTAGTTAAATGAAACGGTTTTAATTCTGTTTTGAAACTATCTTCTTTTATTAGAACTAGTTTAGATAATTATAAAGGGACTTTTCTCTGAAGTCACCTGTATCATAGAATTGAGTATTTCAGTGCACATTATGTATTTATTTGCATGAATTGAGTTCCTTTTTAAAGTAAAAAAAAAAAAGAAAGAAAAAAAGATTCCTGATTTTATCAGGATGTAGCATAAGACTTTGGAAACATTCCATAGTAGCGCATTGAATTTTGGTGTTGAAAAGTGGAAAGAAAAACAATTCTGATACTTTATGATGGTGTTATGGATGACTGAACCTTGGTAGTAAGTAGAGGAGCAAAGGACCTACTGTGAAGGTACTGGCTGTTGTCACAAAAGTGTATTTTTTGTACAAAAAAGGAATCCTTTCAATCCCTGTTTTTTCCTACTGTCTTTTTAGATAGAAATAAGTATTTCATCTCTGTTACCTGAATATAAAGAATCTAAATATATACGAAATGATAAACTGCAAAGATGAGGGATATAAACATGATTTATATAATCATGAGGTAATACTTAACCAGTAGTTTCTTAGAAATTTTTAATTGTATCACTTGGTGAGTGAATTTTCTTTTACTTAAAGGAATACCACATGCTAAGCACTAAGCACTGTTATACTGATGGTCAAATCTTTTCCAAGTCCATCATAGTCATTCTATGATCATGATTCTTATTTGCATTTTGAGCAGCTCATACCACTTTGGCAGGACAATATAGCTTAAATGTCTATTAAGGCAGTATATGCCCATTTTAAGGTCCTTCTGCAATGTCAGAGCGGTAGAAGTTCATGCAAATGCAGGTCACACCTTACAAGCCAAATCGTACAGTCCGTACTCTAACAGTAATCTCCCACTGGCGTTGACATAGTTTTGTCGTAGCTGGACTTGAGAATGAACAACGGTGAGCTGTTGAAAACCTGCCATGAGCCACAGTCCTGCCAGCGTTTGATACTGTGCTCACCAGAGCCCGCAAGCCCATCGGCTCCAGGAGCCGCTGGGTTCCAGGGAAGCAGTACAGCCGGCCGCGTTGCTGGCAGCCCCCAGCCCTCTGTGTGAGCATGGTAATGCAACACAAACGGGCAGGACTACCCCCATGCGGAGCTGATGCTGTAGAACTAAGATTTAACCAGATAAAGCTGAGATACAGTTAATTAGAGAACTATTGGGGAAATTATATCTGCACTTATACATTGAAAGCTATTGAGACTAGAGCGTGTCGCCTCTGCTCATACTGACGGGTACCGAGTCTAACCTGAGCAGAGGCACGTAGGGAGCAAAGTGCTGGAGTAATGCCGGGGGCTTCCTCGGTCTGGCCTTTGAAATGCAAGTGGTGAGATACATCTCTCAAAGGATCAAAGATACGATTTATGTTTAGATTGGAACAAGAGAAAACAAGCTCACTGGAGTGAGCTTGATCACAAGCTCGCTGATCACTGGAGTTGGCTGTTCACCTAAGTTTGATGATAATATCCTCGTTCTGTTTAAAAGTGGGATTTTTTTACAATTCTATAAAAATTCTATTCAAAACGAAGTCTCCTCATTCACAAAAACATTAGGTTCCATGAATCCATAACCAGTTAACCTAGGACACTGACATTTGTATCGGCCTTCAGTCCCTAGTGAAACAGTTCAGCTGTTTTCCCTTGGAAAAGTCAGCTCTGATGCTTTGCAATATTTGTGGCAAACTATCCCTGTAACAAACTGAATGCACGATGGAAATGTCATATAGAGCTCACTGTGCAATACTGAGTCAATTCACTGTACACATTTGATCAAAAGATTAATATTAATGTTTAGATAGTATTTATTGGTAAGATGTTTGTTTCAAACATGATACATTGTGTTGATACTTATGAATGGCCTAAATACAATAAATTGTATTTTACATATTGAGAACATGTATATAGTCGTTTTTCCCATCAGTTAGGTACTCGCGGCTGTTTTTTCTCGGTTTTTTGGCATTTACTTTCTGCACCATGCAGTTTCTTAGATCATTTGTCCTGCAAAAATCCAGGGTGAAATCCAGATCTACCAGAAAATTGCTTCTGGAATATCTTCTGGAAGTACCCAACTTCAGAGCAACTGAAGAGCGAGCAGTCCTTGAAAGTACCCGAGACTCCATCTGAGCTCCTTCTGCATTCAGGAGGCCAGAATTCAGGTTGTGTTTTCCTGCTCAGAAGGATCGCAGCTGACGTGAGGTTTTCTTTTCAGATCCTCATCGCCATACCCAGGAATGCAGTGGAAAACGCAGAGTATGTGTTTTGTGGGAGCGTGGGATTCTCCTCGCATTGCCGTGGGACGCCAGTGAAAGCTGGGCACCGAAACGCTGTTGAGGGCTCGGGCTATCACTGTTTGGGTAAACCGTATTTGCAGATCACCTCGAGATGCAGCAGTTCAGCTTTCTGCCTTGTCAGTAGAGAACTGTGCTGGGGTCAGCTCTCTTCTCCGCTTCAGCGTAGGTTTTGTGGTCAGCATGAAGGTGGTTGGTGGAACTGCTCAGTTCAGACACTGGAAAAAGCACTTCCTTCATTTAGGCCCATTGTTTCGTTTCCTTTCCTCTGAGGGGCTGGGGAAAGTGCTGAGCCAGCTTGTTCTGAGTGGCATCAGTGCCCAAACAGTCACCAGTTCCAGTGAGAATGAGGCTGACATCACATCTTGCACTTCTGTTCTTGCAGGGAGAAATGCCGTGTTTCTTGCACTTCGGGGCCACTGCCTGTGGACTCGTAAGTCGGGCTGCATGGACTCGGCACCTGCGAAAATCACCTTTTTGTTCCTGAGGTAATGGTGACAGCGGTGAACCAGGACAGGCCTCAACTCCCCGTCAGATAAACGAAGATAGAGGAACAGGGCACTGAAGTATCCATTGTTCTTCTTACTCGCTAAAGGTTGGCCGGGGAGGCTTTGGAAAACCCAGTGTTTTGAGACACCCCCTCCCCCTTTGGTCTGTCAAGCTATTTGTCTCTCAGAACCGCCTCTATTCCTTTCCAGAGGGAGAGGTTTTAACCTGCTCCTTGTCCTTTTCCCAGCGAGTCCCAGCCTTGGAGAACAGCCGCGCAGCTCAGGGTCCGGCAGGGAAGCAGCAGTGTCACATCAGAGCCCCGGCACCGGCCCTACCTTCCCGACCCGCTCCTCAGCTCAAGCCGGGAGGTGAAGGAGTCACCTCCCCGAAAGGTGTCACCTCACTCAAGTCCCGAAAGGCTACACAAGCGGGCTGTAATAACCAGGTTAAACATACGGAGAGCCAGGGAGCTATAGCTAGGGCAAAGTCACTGTCAGATGGCTCTGTCCTGTTAAACAAAAATGCTATATAAACAGGAAGGGTGGAAAAGGATATTGCTAGAGAAAGAGCAGCCTCTCCCTCTTGCTCTCCTGCTGTGAGGAATGCAATAGGAAATTCCTGCTCCAGGATTAACAATCGTAGGGAAAACTCTAGTTAAAAAAGCATGTGTGTAAAGCGCTGGTGAAAAGTGAAGATACGGTTCCAGCCGCTGCTCCAGCATATAAACACAGACGAGATTTCCTCGCTTAAAAGCAAAACAAAAGCCAAATATGGGGATGTAAAACTAAGAGTTTGCCTTAGGAACGACTCTTAAGAGATCAGGCCCATTCTTGATAGCAATCTGGGAAATTGCAACAGGGTTGATTCGAACCATCTATTTTTAAATTTTCTAACGGGGATGTAAAATGGAGACAGAGAGCTGTAACTCAAGATAGGTGGAGTGAAGCCAAGCAGTCCCATGCTGGCGCGTTGTGCGACGAGAGGCGAGAGCGTGGCCCGGCGCCGGCGCAGGGCTGTGCGGTGACGGTGCAGTCACAGCCATGCTTTGCACCGGGCCACCATCTGAACCTCGCCTGCGAACCGGCACTGAGCAGGGAGCACACGTTGGGTGTACCTTTGCTAGGCCTACCATAAACCTTGAGGTGGTATTTATGGGAGTTTTGGTGACCTGTCAAGCAGTCGATGGTACTCGCAGCTCGAAGGGCAGAGCCGGGATGCAGGGGAGCTCTCTAGCTGAGGTGTCTCCATGGCGCTGTGCAAATGACGCCGCTTGGCCGGTGGTGGTCTCAGCCATTTTATTTTACACCGGCAGTAGCGAAGGGCCCAACCTTTGCACCACGAAGATCCTAATCCTAAATTTTGCCTGCATGCCCATCAAAAAGCATTTGTTTGGTAAACACACAACGTGCTCATCCTATCGTCCTAGCAAACCTGCAGCTCCCTTGATGCGAAGAACGCAGGTTCGGGCCGCTGCTGTGGAAAAAAAAAACCCGTATGAAAAAAGCGCCCTGCAGTCGGCATCCGGTAACGCGGCGTTGAGCTCGCCTGCAGCAGGGAAACCCGCGGCTTTGTGCAGGAGGTGCCTTCCCCCGGGATGCAGGCGGGCCCTCGGGGGGAGCAGCGGTCCCCCCTCCCGGCAGCGAGGCGGGACGCGCCGGCCCGGGG